GGTGGGAGAGGCCGCAGGACCCCTGGGTTCAGCTCCAGCTCCCTCCTGCAGCTGCCCCTCCAGGCCTCCGCATCCCACAGGGCCCCCCCCGTGTCAAGGAAAGGGCTGCAGCCCTGGTGGGTGGGGGCAGCAGGAGCACTTCACTGCACAGGAGCAGCCTCTCAGCCCCCCGCTGGGGCCAGGGTCCTGCCTTGGGGAGGAGCAAGTACTGCCAGAGGAAAGGGCTGCAGCCCTGGTGGGTGGGGGCAGCAGGAGCACTTCACTGCACAGGAGCAGCCTCTCAGCCCCCCGCTGGGGCCAGGGTCCTGCCTTGGGGAGGAGCAAGTACTGCCAGCAGGGACAGCTCAGGGCTGGGGCCCGGACCCCCGTGGTCACTGGGGGAGGGGGTTGAGAGCTGGTCCTGCTGCATCAGTGCCTTCGAGGGGGGCGCTGCTGGCTGGCACACACCTGCAGGGTCTGCCGGATGCCCCTCTGCCAGTCCTTCACCAGGTCCACGGGGCTCAGGCCCTCCTGCGAGGAGCAGACCGTCAGCTTGGCTGCCAGGGGACACAGGCTGGGGTAGAGCACTGGGCAAGAGCAGGGCACCATGCAGGTGGCACTCCCTGGGCAGGGGGAGGCACCAGGGCTGGGGGCCTGGACCGGGCCAGGCTGGGGCACGGTCCCACCGCATCCTGCAGCAGGAACCACTGGGAGGAGGGGCTGAGCCGGGCTCCCACCGCCGGGCCCACTAGCCCCATCCCCCTCCCAGGGGCAGGGAGGGACCTGCAGCAGCCAGGTCCAGGCACTGCTGAGGTGGGGGGTCCTTCTGCCAGTGGCTGCAGGGCCCTGGGGGAGCCCTGCCCGTGCCCACCTGGTTCCGGATGCTGAGGTTCGCCCCGTACAGCAGCAGGGTCTTCACAGCCTTGAAGCGGCCCAGCCGGATGGCGTCGTGAATGGGCGTGTCCCCCTCCTGCGGCCAAAGGCATGGGCAGCTGATTGGAGAAGGGCCTGGGGCTGCCCCTGCCCAGACCCTGCCCTGCTGCGCACCGTGCCCGGCGCTACCTTGTCCTGCGCGTCGAGGTCGGCCCCGCAGGCGATCAGGTGCTCAGCACAGTCGCAGTGCCCCGTCCGCACAGCCACGTGCAGCGCCGTGCTCCTCAGCTGCAAGGCAACAGCCCGTCACGGGGCAGCCTTCCCCGGAAACGCCCCGCAGAGCGCGGTGCCCACTCAGCCCACGCCACGAGGGAGGGGCCGGGCACCTTGGAACCCTGCCTGGTCCCTCGCTGGCTGGGGCCTGGGGACACTGGCCATGCCCAGGGGAGGGGACTTGGGACCAGCCCTGCCCTCCCCCCCCAATCTCTGCCATGGAGCCATGCGGGGAAGGCGCACGTCTCTTCCCACTGGGGTTGGGCACAGGGCGAGAGCCAAGCAAAGGCTGGCACCCAAACAGGACCCAGAGAGCAGGGAAGAAATCTGCCCCATGGGTAGGTGGGGGGCCAGAGCCCCAGGGAAGCCCCCCCCCAGCAGAGCACAGACATGGCCACTGGACCCAGCCCCTCACCTTGTCCCGCACGGAGACCTTGGCGCCTCTGTCCAGCAGGCGTGTGAGGATCTGCAGGTGCCCCCCGCGGCAGGCCCAGAGCAGGGGCGTGGCCTCCAGCTGGGCAGAGGGAAGGCCGGGTCAGGAGCTGAGCCCCCAGGACACGGCTCCAGGGGCTCGGTCACCGTGCTCAGGCTGCTCTGCCAGCCCTGGGGATGCAGGGCCCAGGGACATCGGGGGGGG